GAAGGGGTGGTAGAAGAACAGGAGCCTTCTCCTCCAGAGCGTCGTCTCAAGGGCAAAAAACCGGCGCTTCGGTTTGCTGATGAGGAAGGACCTCCTTTACCTCCACCTCGCGATCCTCCAGTTCGCCATCGGTTGATGGAGAAAAGCCCGGCCTCTTCACTGCGTGGTCATGTGGGCTCCTTGCGCTTGCTTCGCAAGCGGGGGGAGAGTCCGCCCTCAGAAATTTTCGAGGATGACATGCAGGGTCTGGGGGAGCTGGAAGAAAATGCAGATGTTGAGGACAATGTTCCTGGTGATGAGTATTGGCCGACTTGCTGTTCTCCTCATGAAAATGCTTATTTGGTCTGCAAAAGTGAGACTGCCGAGGAGGGAACACAGTTGGAAAAAGAAGAGCAAAAAGCCAAGTCAATGTATGAAAGGTCTATGTATGATTACGTGGACTGTGAGGAGCTTTTGGAAGGGATTGTATACCCAAAGAGGGCGAATCGAAGAGGTGGTATCAACAATTGGTGCACAAGTACGCGAGCTCTGGTGTTGGGCCACTATACTCATGGCGGAGTGTGTGGTATTACAAAAGAGACTCATCGAAGGCCATGGCTATGTCGTTATTTGGCATCATTCGTGAAGCACCACAATCCTGAAGCCAAATTTTCTGCTCTTCAGATCTCGTGCAATGCTCCGGTGTCATTGCATAGGGATAGTCACAATGAAAAACATTGCTGCAATTATGTGTGTGGCTTTGGTGACTGTAAAGATGGTCAGCTGTGGGTTGAGGATGAAAAGGTTTTAGAGGAAGGAGCTGAAGTGGTGGAGCAATCCTATGGGAAGAAAGTCTTACCTGGAAAATTGGTGGATATCCACTGGAACTTCATGTCGTTCTTTCCGAGAAAACTGCATGGTCCTATGCCTTGGAAAGGGAACAGGGTATCCTTGACAGGGTACACACCTGTGTTTATGGAGCGTTTGAGCTACAAGGATAGGTGCTATCTTCTCCAATGCAAGTTTCCTCTTCCAGAACCACAAGCTGAAGAAGGTGAAAAAAGGAAGTGGTTAAAAATGACGTTGAAAGAGACCTCGTTGGACGACCTTGCAGAGGAAGTCGACTACGCTGTGTTCGAAGCGCATCAATGGGCTCTAGAGGAGCATTTGAGTATTCGGCGCCTAATTGCTGAACAGGAATGTTGCATTTTGGACGAGTTCCATGGATCGGCCAATGAGTCGAATGAGGAAAAAGGATCAGAAACTAGAGAATGGCTGGTTAAAGCAAAAAGGGCTGAGGAACAGCTCTCGAAGTTTTTGGTCAAAGCAGCTCAAGTTCAGCAAATGGTACAAGAAAATACCGCGCTTGAGGCAGCAGAGGAGGTTGAGTTCCTGCAAACAAAAACAATCCCTACACAAGAAGCCATGCAAGCTGGAAAAGTGGAGGGAATCATTGTCGGACGAGGTGACGTCTTTGGTGAAAGAGTTGGAGGTGGTGGAACCAACAACTCAAGAAAAGCTGGACAAATTGGCGGAAGAGCCTAATGCACCGGTGATTGAGTACGTTCCCAGTCTGGTGGTGTTTACCCGGAAGCAAGGGACAGGGAGGCGACGTGCCCGTATCTGTGCATGTGGAAACTTCATTTCGTCAACGGCAGCTACAGAATATGAAGGGCCGAGGTCCCTCAGTCGTCACTCGCTGTACGCTCCAGGTTTAGATTCAACTACATTCAGGTGTCAAGTGAGGCACGCAGCATATATGGTGTGGATCATCGCTGGCTTAGACATTTCCAAAGCTTTTCTGACGGCGCCGATGAATAGGGCGCAAAGAGAAGGGCGTCTGGTGGTGGTGCAGCCCCCAAGGGCGGCGGTGAAATTGGGTCTTTGCACAAAGGAGGAGCGGTGGATTGTGAGAAAGGCCTTGTACGGTTTGGCCGAAAGTCCTGCAGCATGGGTGGAGTGGCGAGACCAACGTCTTCAAGGTATGTCTTGGGTGTCAAAGGATGGACAAGCAATGAGCTTTCAGAGGTCCAATGCAGACCCAAGTCTGTTCCTTTTTATGGCACAAGAGAAGCCGGAAGGTGCAAGCAAGTTGGTAGGGACAATGGGTCTTTACGTGGATGATTTTTTGATGGCTGGGACTATGACAGTGCTCCGGGAAGCCTTGGAACAGATCAGGAAGGAGTGGAAAACTTCTGAACCCGAGTTCTGTGGTCCAGGCTGTGGTGATGGATTCCTGAAGTTTTTGGGTAAATCTGGTATCGAAATGGCAGCTTCTTTCTCAACCAGGAGGACTTTGTGAGAGATTTGCTGAACCGAAGAGGGTATCAGATTGATGAAACTGGAAAAGGAACGGGCCGCTGGAACGTGAATTTTTCAAGTGCGAGGTGAAGAAATCCTCAACGGTAAAGGATTCGGCCAATGAGCTGAAGGTTCGTCCTGGATGACGTAAAACCATAATGTGCATTTCAAGCAGCTGGCTACTGCCTAAATGGCGGTTTTTGGCCAAAGATCTGCACCTCCAATGTGTCCTAGGAAATCCTAGGACAGGGGGAGTGCGGAGCTGCAGTTGGTATTGTAGAAAGGAGTTGACCAAAGCGGTCGAAGGTTCCGTAAAAAGTGTGCCCTTGGTTTGGGGTCTTGTTGGTTTGGTTGGTGTTGGTTGGTCCAGGGGATCAAGGGCTTCTGTTGGGGTTGACTGTTTTGTTCCCTGTCCTCCTTCGGTTGCCCCCCGTACCCTAAACCCCTAAACCCCTAAACCCCTAAACCCTAAACCCTAAAACCCCCTAAACCTAAACCCTAACCCCTAAACCCTAAACCCTAAAACCCCCTAAGCCCTCAACCCTAAACCCTAAAACCCCCTAAACCCTAAACCCCTAAACCCCTAAACCCGAAACCCTAAACCCTAAGCCCTAAACCCGACTCGTGGCACCCAAGCGAGCGTGGGGCTCGTTTGGGTGCCAAGATCCTTGAAATTAACCCTAAACCCCCACTTCCAAGCTGCACGCGGCACTTCCCGGCACTTCCAAGCTGCCCGCAGCACTTCCAAGCTGCGCGCGCTCTGAAAGCCCTGGGCAGCCACCCATTTCGAAGTTTCCGGAACCCGAAAGCTTCAAAACGCATGGTAAAAACCAATGAAAACAAGACGTGTGTGCGGCCTGGACGCGGGAAAGACCGTGATTTGCTGTGTGCGCCTTGGACGCGGACATGCGTGCGGCTTGAACGGTCCGGCCGGCCTGCCCCCCATTTGCAAACACCCTGCTCACATGCTGGGTGTCAACAAGTTTCTTGGGCTTTGAAGCACGCTCTGCACGGCTTAAAAAAAGCGGGGGTGGGGGGGAAGAAGTGGGGGGGGGGTTGGGGGGGCGCAGCCCCCCCCCCCCCACTTGCAAACACCCTGCTCACATGATGGGTGTCAACAAGTTTCTTGGGCTTTGAAGCATGCTCTGCACGGCTAAAAAAAAAACGCGGGGGGGTTGGGGGGGGCGCAGCCCCCCCATTTGCAAACACAATGCTCACACGATGTTTTTTTTCAACTAGTTTCTTGCGCTTTGAAGCACGCTTGGTATTTGGGGGGTCGCAGCCCCCCCCACTTGCAAACACCCTGCCCACATGATGGGTGTCGACAAGTTTCTTGGCTTTGAAGCACGCTCTGCACGGCTTAAAAAAAACGCGAGGGGTTGGGGGGGTCGCAGCCCCCCCTTTTGCAAACACAATGCTCACACGGTGTTTTTCAGTTTCTTGGGCTTTGAAGCAATCTTCCTTTCTTCCTTCCTTGCTTCCTTCCTTTCTTCCTCCCTTCCTTTCTTCCCTCCTTCCTTCCTTCCTTGTTTTCTTCCTTTCTTTCTTTCTTCCTTCCTTCCTTCCTTTCTTTCCTTCTTTCCTTCTAAAACCTACAAGAAATATCGCCTTCCTATGAAAATACAGAGGGAATGGCGGTTTTTCGTACGAACAACCACGAAAATGCATCAAATCCTTTATATAGAGGGAATGGTGGTTTTCTGAGGAAAAACAAGAAAATCGACCAAACAAAAAAAGACCCCCCGCCCCCCCCCAACAAAAAACCCCAAGAAATAGGCCATCCTTTTCTAATTGCGGCTTACGGAGCGCTTACTTGATCTGGCGTGTTTTCTGTTGTGGCGGTTCGCTTGCTGACTGCGGCTTCGTGTTTGCTGACCCGTGGCTTTTTCTAATGGTGACTTTTCTAATTGCGGCTTACGGAGCGCTTACTTGATCTGGCGTGTTTTCTGTTGTGGGGGTTCGCTTGCTGACTGCGGCTTCGTGTTTGCTGACCCGTGGCTTTTTCTAATGGTGACTTTTCTAATTGCGGCTTACGGAGCGCTTACTTGATCTGGCGTGTTTTCTGTTGTGGCGGTTCGCTTGCAAACTGCGGCTTCGTGTTTGCTGACCCGTGGCTTTTTTTAATGGTGACTTTTCTAATTGCGGCTTACGGAGCGCTTACTTGACCTGGCGTGTTTTGTTGTGGCGGTTCGCTTGCTCACTGCGGCTTCGTGTTTGCTGACCCGTGGCTTTTCTAATGCTGACTTTTCTAATTTGGGAGCCTCTGAAGACTCAAAGGGATCATCGCGTCAATGCATTACAACGACCGTACGTTTTCCTTTCGGATTGCTTGCTTCCGATGGTGGCTTTTGCGTTTTGCGACTGTGGCTTGATCTAATCCTGAATCTTCTAATAACTGGGGCAGCGGAGGCGGGCGGCGTATAGTCTTTCTTGCTTCCTGCTAGCGGCTTTTTGTTTTCGACTACGGCCGTCATGTTTTTTTTATTTTTGCTTTGCTGTTTTCCGACAGTGGCTCTCATGTTTCCGACTCCACGTCCTCGTTTTTGGACTGCGGCCTCCATGTTTTCGACTTTGTTTGCTGAATTCGGCGTTGCCCCTCCGCTACTCCACAAGAGGGATTAACACCTTTGTAGACCCAATCCTAGTTGAGAGGACCAGACCCTGGTTCGCATGGCAAGAGCTCGTCGGGCGGGTTGCGTAGCTTCCTTGGCTCGGATGAGGTCAAGCACACCGAGACCTTCGACACCCACATCGACGCTTGTTTACAGCATGGCGAAATTTCAGTTTTTGCAATTTTTTTTGTTTTTTCTCTCCAAAGCTCAGCTCCGTGCATATGAAATTTGAAAGGATTCCTCTTCTTTGGTCGCATACCTGAGCTCGGTCGACGAAGGCAGCATGTGCCGAAGTCGCAAGCAGATTTGGCGTTGTCTGGCCGTTCAGGGTGCCCCCCAAGTGCCCAGCCGGCCATGGTTGGGGTAGAGCAATACCTGTACCATCCTCTACCTCATATCCACGTCCCGCTGTTGCTGCTATCGCTGCTTTACTGGTGTCCCAGGATACTGGTCGGAGCCGCGGATGAAGCCTCTGCGAGCATCAGCTTCGAGGCATGGTTTGCACGTCGCTTTGCAGAGCTATGGGGGGGGGGGGGGGCGCAGGTCATAGTGTGTTCCAAGAAAACTCGTGCTCGCAACAAGAAGGAGAAGATTAGGGATACCAGCATCACAGCGTGGCACGGAAGGCGGCCAACCTTCTCCGAGAAAGCGGGGCCACATTTCCCCGGCCGATTTCTTGGCGGTCGCTGTATTGCATCGAGACGGATCTGTGCTACAAATTGAGGGTGGTCAAGGATATAGCGTTGCAGGTGCAACCGCCAAATAGAGCCTGCCCACTTCACAAGCACCCTGCAGCACCCTAAACTTAGAACGGAGCAGTGGTGAGAAAGTTTCTGCCATGCGAGCCCGGCGAGACCCATGCCGCATGCCTTCGAAGGAGTTCTTATGCGCTCATTGGCATCAAGGGCGGGGAAGCCCTGTCGGAGGCCTTGGAACTGCAGAGAAAACCTCTTTGCCACATTGTGTAAGTCACATCACTGAAGGCGAACGCAAGCTGAACGTGAGTCTAGTGTGAGTCGAGCCGGGGAAGCATATTGCACATGCAATTTGTTGATGAAACAAGGTGGTGCGAGCACAAGGAGATGGATATGCTGTAGCTGTCGCTGAAGTGAGCCCGCCTGCACCTGGGAATATCTGCAAAGAAGCGTTTTGCAGGGTTTTTGTTTTGGAAGTTTTGTGAATCTCACCCTGCAAAAAGGGCAGAGGGCAGGCTGTAGCGGCTGTAGTGCTCATTAAGGAGACCACGCCGCCTCCGCCATTGCCATTTTGCGAGACTTGCCGTCACACATTCTTGGTTATTATAGGGACGAGAGCACTTAAACGGTTGAAGTTGCAGCTTGCAAGCCGATCCATACTCCAGTGCAGATACCCTTGGTAGTGCCGCCCTACATCTGCTGCCGGTTGCCGTGCCGGAGCTGCCCCACAGGACATGAAAGTTGCGGAGCCGCCCATGTCGGGTGTGCTGGCCGCCGACGGCAATCTGGAGCTCGATGCGGGCTGCCGATTCCGCGTGCGACTTTGCCCTGCAGGAACGTTGGAACGTTGGAAGATTTGGAAGTTCAAGGCATTTCAATTGGCAACACAGGATTTGGGATCTCACGCCTTGCTCAGGTGGGAGAGCCCCGACATGGCCCAATGTCTGTCAGGACCTGTGGGCGCTTTTGCTGTCAGCTGTCTTCGGGTTTGCCTCGCAGTCCATTCACAGGAACCTGGGTAGTCGTGACGGGCTCTTCCAACGCGTTGCTGATTTTCAACACCCTGCTCATGCTGCTTGCTCCGGCAGAGGCCGGGGAGACCGCACCTTTGTCAGTTTCGCATTGTGCTGCAAATTCGCATTTTGTGCTTGCGTCCCACGGGTTTTGCACCTTTCGCACGATCTGCGCACTTCTGCAGCTGCACACTAGTGCCCATGTGGACGCGCCAACGAGAAAGCCTGGCTGGTGTAGCATATACAATCTATTATTCAATGAATTTGCAGAATCTCCGCACCTTTGTCAGGCAGACGTGCAGCGGCGCGGCCGATATGGGGGCGCTCACCTCCTTGATGCTGTGGTGGAAGACGGCTTTGGCCTAAGTCCTATAAGTTTAAAGAAGCCCTTCCTGCCATCTTCACACTTTTCTTCTTCCATTGCAGTTCCGAGGCGTCCTCATCTACTACGAAACTGCAACCTGAACTGCAGAAGGCTTCCAAGAATAAAGCAACATGCGTCCACAGAATGGGTTCAACATGGTTCAACAGCTAGGCATCTGCGGTGCAGCTTAGAGCAGCCCGGATGCAGGATGCTGACAAAAGTGCTTCGTCTTGCGTGGTCTCAGGTGAGGTCGTCGGAGGCATCCTGTATTCAGAGCACAGCAGGTGGCGGCAGCAACGAGACCGAATGCAGGAGAGTTCCTGACTTGACCGTAGCCAATTCATTCTGTTGCGTACAAGAATTTTGGGTCCGATCAAATGCAGAAGTCTTAAGAAGGTGCTGCAGCAGTGCTGCAACATAGCATAACATAGCGCACCGCGCAGAGACTCACGGACTCACGGGTGTCACGGGTGGGAAGCAGCTTCGAACCTGGCAGGAGCATCTACAGCAGCTCGTTGCAGAATGCTCCACCGCCAAATGGTAGAAGGCTTTGGTGAAGTTGCGCTTTTCAGCATGTTGGCCGTGGAGGCTGTAGAGCGCCTTTGCACACGTGCAGGATCCGAGTCACAATGTTCCTGTCCTTCTTCTGGGCAACTCGTCCGCATGAAGTCCTACGTGAAGACATAGCAGCCTGTTCTACTTCCACTTGGCAAAGAGAGGTCCTCTGCCATCCCAAGATCGTCCAAGAGTCGCGTTAACCCATCCCACCGTTCTGCGATGCAAATGATAACACAAAATCTTGCAAAGGCCCGAAGCGCCACGCACTCTGGGTTCTTGAGAGCAGCTACCGTGAAACCCTACCCACTGTACTCAACACCCGAAGACATGCGTATTTGGCGAAGCGATGCGAAGCAACTTCCAATTCCCGGCATCACGATTTTTGCGTGAGGCCGTTCCACAGCTCGAGATCAGTGCTGTTCTAGATTCTAGAATTGGAAAAGAAGTATGGGGGAGTATTGGTGGGGACTGAGACCCTAAGCTGGTGAGTTTCGGTTTGAAACACGAGTGGAGGGGGGCAAATATATCGGTGTGAAAACCGCGGAGACGGGGGGGAGGGGGGTTTGCTCCGCATGCTCCGCATGCTCCGCATGACCGTTGGTTGGTGTATCTTGATGTATGCTCGTTGAGGCCCGAACTGGCACAGCCATGGATCTTGTTGAAGCAGATCGATCGTGGGCCACTGCCGAGGTGGCTCTTTTTGTCGAATAGCAATACAGAGTGGCGGTAGTGGTAGTCGCAGAGGTGGTGGTTGCGGTACGTCGTGGGAGGGAGCGGCAGTGGCAGAGCAGCAACAGCACCGAGAGTAGAAATCGTGTTTGTTGAAACATTGTAGTGCTTGAACGCCATTGAAAGCCCGTCCCTCGCAGGTTGCCATGGTCGTCCAGGTAGTGGCCTGGTATGTTGTCTGCAACGGTATTAAATTCACCGGCTGCCCGCGTTCCAACCTCATTGACATGGAGGAAGCGGCCGTGAAAGCCATGTTTGTCACAGAGATGGAGACTGGGCGAAAGATGCACACTGAGAATCGCTGAGAGATGTGTGACAAGGAAAGCTTGGCTTGGCGTCCTGACACCGGTACATGTGATTGCTTTTGCTTGAGGGTGAGCGTATGTAACCGCAGCTTTACCTAAGGAGGCTGTGCTGGATCGAATGGCGCCGTTTTGTGAGCCAGGCAGCTTGCCATTGACAGTTTTTTATTCAGATTCAGGGAATGCAGTTTTGCAGCATTGAAGTCTTTCTATTTACAGTTTCCAATTCGGAGTCTCAGTTGCACGTCCGGCTCACTGCGGAGCATTTGCTGAGCATTGGATGTCGAAGGCGGTCGTGCCGGACAGCGTGGCTGCGCCGTCGCGACGAACTCTTGGAGTGATCCGGGTCCCACGTTGACTCTTAGATAAATCTTGGGCATCACGTTCTGAGCACGGATTGTAAGCGAGCTACTTTGGCCGACAGTTGTGTGCTCCTCCAGCTCTCGTGACTGCAGAGATCCGAGGATGGCCATGTTCCAGGGGTACAACAGTGAAGTTACCAAGGCATGCGTCTGACGTGGGGTATCTGATGTCTGTATCGGTTCGCTGACGCTCTAAGGAGTTGTTCCATCATGTAGTCCAGTGATGGAGAGGCCTCCAAGTGGAGCGAGAGAGCCCCTGAGAGGTGTCATACGTAACTGTGCGGGTAGGCCATGCAGCCGAGAAAGTCATCAACCTTCCGTCTTGTGGACATCTTTGCCTTGGGGGCAACTATGCCTGGAGAGTGTCTCGGATCAGCAGTGTGCCTGTCAGTGCCTGTTGTCAATTTGTAGATGGGTGTGTGCATGTGTGTGCGGATTTCGGCAGAGAAATGCAGTTGCGCGCCGCTTCGCCGCATGAGCTTCTCGCGGCTACTCTAATGGCACTAATGTCAAGGGCCCGTTCTCACAAACTTCCTCGTGCCCAACTCGAAAACACTCTGGAGCACTCAAGCACAGTGTCATGTGGCAGAATTCGGTGAGGACATACCTCGGCCACGGAAGCCAGATTCTTCACATTTGGACGTGGCAGGCGCTCCTAGGCGCGGAAAGAGCAAAGGTCACTGCCTAAACCTCCCCTTTACAGGTACCCTCTAGCTGTAGCGGCACAAGGTTCGGTACCTACGTCTCATGCCGCAAATGGGTTCGGTCCTGCCTATCAGCCTGTGGCAGTTGGAATATGTTGGAATCTCGATGACGGGTAGACTCACTGATAGTCAAAAGGCGCCGATTGCAGATGTTGCGGCGTTGCAGATTGAAGTGTTCAGCGTCAAATGCAGGCGGATTTTGCGCAGCTTCTTCTGCTACGCCTGGAAGGCAGATGGAGCCTCCGCGCTTTCCGCACGTTCTAGACTGCGCATGCTTGGGAACATCGTTGGGGTACACTTAGTCTGGAAAGGGATAGATGTTGCTCAGAGCCTTCCCAAACCCACGCTCGATGCACCACCCTCCACACTCGTCTGGCTTGTAGACATCCAGGAGTTCCAGGCTCATTGAGCTGCATGTTCCCATGCCGAGAATGTCGCATTGCCAATGTCAGACTGGCTGGGCTTCATAATGTTTGTTGCAGCCCGGACATGCGTACGTAGTCAGTGCAATCGTACTGCCAAGGAGTTTGAAGGGCCAGTGTGTTGGAGGAAGGATGCCACTTTGCAGCCATATCAGGCATTAGCACCCCTATCTAGCTTTCGGGGATCTGGGACCCGGAAAATACCTGTGTGGGTTTGGGGTTTCGTATCTGGAGGAGCGAATTAATTAAGGCGCAGGACCTCTGTCAGAAGCTTCATGCGTCCTCCGCACGCGATCGGCCAAGTTTTATTTGATGCTGGCACTATTGCCAAGGCAAGCTTGGATTCGTGCACTGCTTATACGGGAACGGTGCTTTGGCAATGCATGAACAGCGGCTCGGTTGACAAGGTGTGAGTATTTATGGGCGTGTTGTTGAGTTCGACATGCCACAGAGTGTCAAGGCATGCTTTGCGTTCACCGGCTCCTAGACAAGCCAACCACCTCGCAAATAACCACCACTTCCAGCATCGATTCGTAACTTGGAACAATGGTTGCTTCCACTGTCTGCCATGCTACGTATGAACCGAGCGCGCTTTTTCAGAGCGCTTAGCATTCCGAGGTTCGCGCCTGTGGATGGGGGAGCTGACCGTGCCTGCCGCGGGGCCGGGGCCGGGGACAACAGCGCCAGCTACTACAATGCCGCGTTGGCAGCAGCTGGTTTTGGCTGATCAGATACTGCAAGCCGCTGCCAGCCCTCAGGTGATATCGGCGGCATCACTTCTGGCTTGCAAAGAGGAGTGCATCCGCACAGAGGACCCCCTGCTCCATACGAAGCTTAAGTGCTGCTTGCTGTTTCACCACGACGCCACGTGACTACGTGTTGCCATATGCTCTGGTGCTCAGGCGTGTGTCGGCATCGAGTACAGTGCTAGCCGTTGTGAAGTCTGGACTCGGCCAGAAGGCATCCAGGCTTCCGTCCACCTGGCACCTTGGCAGGCTTAAGGCACCTTCCAAACTGTACAAGGCACAACGGCACAAAGCACAGCTCTCGCGCTTTCGGGTCAAGATGTCACACTTTGCCCAGGCTGGCTTCACATGCCTGAGCTACGCTTCGCCTCTTGCCACCACGACCACGACCACCAGGTCTCCCAAGCGGCAAGATCTCTCTTCCCATGATGACCCCCGCCCTCCCTCCCCACTCTCGGGTGAGGCTCCTTAATCTCTTGTTGGGTGTCAGGCTGTTCGCTGGCGGGGACAGTTTCGGCCGAGCTGTGCTAGCCATGCTTGATGAGGTCTTGCAAATGCTATGGAGAATTGTATGTGACTGCCACACCACCTCGCCGACAGGGTTGGAGGAAGGGGGCGGGAGGGAGGGGAAAGCGTTTTGTCCGCCCCCGATGGTCGCCCCCAAGCCCCCTGCTCGTGCACCACCCGCACCAGGACACGACGGTTAGGGGGCACCCCTTCAGAGCAACTACCAAATAAAGGGGCGTAAGCTGCATCACGTGGCTGGGCAGGGATGAAAGGTGGGGTATACCTGCTTGATGCTGCCCCAACACCTACGGCCCGAGGACTCGGCTGGTTTCCGTGTTTTTCGGTTCATTGTGCATCTCCGAGTCAGTCACTGCTCTTTCCGGGGGCGGCCTGCTCCACAATGTGGTTCTTCCTGGTCGGGTTCCTGAATTCAGGAAGCAACTTCCGGTGCCTGCACGAGACCTTGCGATAGAAGGCATATCTTTAGTCAGCGTTCACTACTTTGCTAGAGTTACCTTTTCCTTCGCCGAAGCTCCTCTGAAACTTTTTTACTTCTTTGGAACCCCCCAAGCCCCAACCCATAGATGGAAATATGCCTCGGGCATGGCCGAACCCATGGGTAGAATGACTTTTCTATCTCTACGGGTTTGGCCATGCCCGATACCCCGAATCCGCAAAGAAGCTCACCCCGAAGACCACGAACACGGGAAGCCACGCAAAAACACCTCGGACTTGTGCCATGCAGCTTCACCGGCTTCACCTTCGGGTTTCAACGAACATCCAGGGCTCCTCGGCAAGCTCTCCGCCAGGAGCGTTTGTTGTAAAATGGCGGGGTTCCTCATCTAGGAGGCGGTGGCCACACAACCGAGCCGACACCATAGAATATTGGGTTGAGGCTGAGGGCATTGACGCATGAGCTGCGCAGGCTGGACTGGCACGAGTTGGGTGCAGCGTTCGGCGGAAACCACCCAGATAGAACTTGACTTGGCATGTACACCCCTTCCCCCCCCCCCCGCCACCAAACCCTCAACCTATTCGATGGGAAGCCATCCGGATTTTGGACAAAGTTTCGCCGGCACATTCTATCTATGGTGTCGGGATTCCGAAAACCCCCGACAATCAAAATCTACTCACGGATGCCCGCAATCACAAACGGTTTCTTGTGTCACAGCTTGCATCTGCAGCAATGGGAAGTTTTCGAAATCCTGATACCTAAACTGGAGAAGAGCCTTGACCGCAGCCCCACCCCATCCCGTCCCGAACCTGTCATGTCGCATATGCTATCCTGAACTTCGTATCGTGAACACAATCAGCCAGCCCTGCACGAGTCAGCCAAAGTAAATGCGAAAAAGGGCAAGCTCCAAGATAGAACATGCGAACCGAGCGCGCTTTTTCAGAGCGCTTAGCATTCCGAGGTTCGCGCCTGTGGATGGGGGAGCTGACCGTGCCTGCCGCGGGGCGGGGGCCGGGGACAACAGCGCCAGCTACTACAATGCCGCGTTGGCAGCAGCTGGTTTTGGCTGATCAGATACTGCAAGCCGCTGCCAGCCCTCAGGTGATATCGGCGGCATCACTTCTGGCTTGCAAAGAGGAGTGCATCCGCACAGAGGACCCCCTGCTCCATACGAAGCTTAAGTGCTGCTTGCTGTTTCACCACGACGCCACGTGACTACGTGTTGCCATATGCTCTGGTGCTCAGGCGTGTGTCGGCATCGAGTACAGTGCTAGCCGTTGTGAAGTCTGGACTCGGCCAGAAGGCATCCAGGCTTCCGTCCACCTGGCACCTTGGCAGGCTTAAGGCACCTTCCAAACTGTACAAGGCACAACGGCACAAAGCACAGCTCTCGCGCTTTCGGGTCAAGATGTCACACTTTGCCCAGGCTGGCTTCACATGCCTGAGCTACGCTTCGCCTCTTGCCACCACGACCACGACCACCAGGTCTCCCAAGCGGCAAGATCTCTCTTCCCATGATGACCCCCGCCCTCCCTCCCCACTCTCGGGTGAGGCTCCTTAATCTCTTGTTGGGTGTCAGGCTGTTCGCTGGCGGGGACAGTTTCGGCCGAGCTGTTAGTAGAGTGAGCGCTTGCTGTCATTCGGCCCATGCATTGTGCACCGCTCTCTGCTGAAATTTTCCAAACTTGATTCTGGCTTTGTCCTTTCTAAGAATCCTCCGTGCTGGAAGGATGAGCGCAACACTTTTCGAAGCAGTGGACGGTGGCATCAACCGCGCGTGCCGCGGAGCATCGGCTTCCGACAACGCGCCGGCCAACTATGTGGCCATCTCAGGTGGGGGCACACTATATAGCCAAAATATGAGCCGACGGTTCCAATCTCAGCCTCTGTGATCCGAACATATCGCAGATTGAAGAGCGCACGTGCTTACGATGCACATGGACTGCGATTGACAGTTTGAGCGATGCTTCATCGGCAGGTGTCCGGAATCTTGGCGACTGTCAGATCGAGTGCACGCAGGCGCGAAGCATGCGGACGCAACTGCATTCACCGGCATCTGCGCGCGCCTGCACATGCCTGCACGTTCACTGCACACACGTCGACAAAGGTTTTTTTCACGTTGTCACGTGGTGCAATCTCGAGTGACATCTCGCGGGCTCCATGTCCAGGTCGCTGCTTGCGTAGGGATCGAGTTCAGCAATGGCAGATGTGAAGTTTGGATCCGCCCCGGTGGAATCCAGGCTTCCGTTGCGCCTTTCCCGCAGAACAGATGGTGTCATTGCAGGGTTCAGGGCGGCAAGCATTGGCCCTACTCTCCTGGGTAGAGCTGAGCTTCGCTTGAGGCATTGAGCGGCTTTACCTGTCAACGTCGCACGACTGCAACACGGGTTGCCTTGGTGTGGAGACACCTCACTGCGGTCTTTTGTGCGAGATCCGAATGTGAACGCAGGTGTGATGAACACGATGCTTCTTTAAGCCCGATTTGGCGAGCGATGTGCAGGCAACCAAAAAAGCCAAGTAAGCCAAGTAACGAAACCGCCCGGAGGCTTGCTTGGAGCGACCCGTCGGTTGGACATGGACATGACGGTCTTCCCCTGACCGCCTGGGCCTGACTTTTAGAGAGTTGCATGAGAGGGGTCCCTTTTTGAAACCCGCCGAAGGCGACCAAAGAGGCCCTGTCCCCCTAGCGAGTGCCAAGTGGCCGAAGCCATGCGGCAGTCTGCAAATTACAGACTCTGGGGCAAACTTGGGCGAACTGTCACTGCAAAAGCGTGCTGTTCTTGAGTATTCTGCCAAGCCAAGTTCTCCCAAAAAGCAGAGCATCCATTTTTGAAGGGCGTGGCCCTGAAAGACTCTTGCGAGCGAGCTCTTGCGAGGGAGCTGCGCTAGCTTCGCAAGGTTTCGTGAGCTTATAGCAAGGTAAAGGAAGCTGCAAACCCTTCAGACCAAGCGCGTAGCAATCGCACCTGGTGCAGGAGGTGTGCTCTCAAACCGAAATCTGGATGACCAAAGGTCGCGCGGTGGGCCATACAGAGCTAGTATAGTGGCGGTTCGGCGACGGTGGCTTCGTAGCAGTGGCGAACTGCTTCAGGGCATAGCCAAGTCGCTGGCCGTTAAAAGCCAGCAGCTCACCAAGTAGCATGCTGAACATCGCGCAGCCTTAGTCGCTTTGGTTGTGAAAAAGCGCGTACGGCTTTTCCGTGTGCGCTCGGCTTCCGTCAGACACTTTTTCGCTTGTGCGGCGAATTTGTTGTTGCTGTCGCATTATACGTGGGCTTGCGCAGTTTCGGCTTACGATTCCGAGCTGTCCAAATTCGGATCACGGGCAAGGGCATCCAAACCAACGCATCTCCCCACAGCTGCTTTCGGTTTTGGGGTCATGCTGGAGGAGCCTGGATTTCGAAGTCAAGTCACTCCGCTCTGATCAGTCAAATCCTCCATCGTCCCCTAGGAGCTTCAGCTCATCTTCCGCGAGCTCCGAGCCTTGCGTGGGGCGACTGAGAGAGACTGAGAGAGACTGAGAAACACTGAGAGAGACTAGAGAGAGACTAGAGAGAGATTGAGAGAGCGAGAGAGAGAGCAGCAGCCATTAGATGTTCGCTGGTTGCGCGTTGTGATTTCTGAGTGTAGAGCTCTCACAAAGGCATGTGCCGCACGCATCCCGTAAAGACGCTTGCGCAAGCGAACAAAAACAGGGTTTGCGCCGCGCGCACTTCCTTTCCGCCTGTTACCCGCAACCACATCCAGACACATCCAGGCTGCGCAGCACGGGGTCGGGAGTCGGTGTTGCAAGGAATCGAAGCCTCCTAACCTCCTGCTCGTAAATTGTTCACAGCTGCAATTTGGCAAACGGGTGATGGTAACGGAGTCGTCGGAGTCGTCTTTGCTAGCAAATTGCTCACAGCTGGAGACACTCGTTCTCAGCTACAAAGATGTGATGGCAACGCGACCTTGTATCCAAACCTCCTTTCTGGTAGTTTTGGTGGTCCTGACTTAAGGGAGAATCCCAGAGAACCCCTTTCACAGCAGCCACAGCAGTTCGTGAATGCGAACTTCCGTGGTCTCCAAAAGGCGGGTGAAGAGGGCTTGGGAGATGGGGCCAGGGCATGCCAGGGCCCAAGGCTCGGGGCTGCTGACAATGGCATTGCGACCCTGATCCTGAGCCTCAAGGGAGAAGCTCAGAGAAGCTTTGAGCAAAACTTTTGTTGTTTTAGGGCTTAGGCCTCGGCAAGTTTGGTTGAGGGTTTAGGTTCGGGGTTCTGCTAATAACTATTTTGGTTTTAGAGCTTAGGATTTAGGTTCTGTCGGAGAAATGGAAATGGATGGTGGCTCTAATAGCCTGTTGTTATTGGCTTTTGATCGGGTTGAGAGCAGTGCCACCTCTTGAGGCCTCGTTAGTTTTGAGCAGGTCTTGAGATTGCTCGGCAAGGCAACCTCCGGGAATCATGACGGTTACCACAATTTCTGTGCTTTCTCTGTGATACATTGGTGATTCAGTTCTGTAATGTCTCTTTGTTCTTTCGCAAATGCTCGCTTTAAGCAAATGCTCTAGTCTCTTTCTGGCGGCTTGCGCTTCTTTCTTGTTAATGTCCGTTTCGGGACGGAACGGATCAGCCTGAGTTGTTCGCCGGACCCGGCCCAGAGGCATGTTTCGCGCGTGCATCAACGTACTGGCAGCAGTTGCCAGTATTTAGCTATTCTGCTCGCGGGTGAAATTCCCTGCGTGTTCATGGAGCCATGCTGCTGCCGCTTTGATCTGATGGTCATTCCACCGTTTGTTGGCTGTGATTCTGTTGTGGTTTTGGAGTGCTCGTCCCCAGCAGCACGAATTCAAGTCAAAGTTGGGTCCTAGAACACAGGGGCCGGCTGTGATTCGGATGTGAGTTGCGCAGCCATAACACGGCCGAATCCTGAGCCCAGCCCTGAACACACGCAAAGGAACATCACCGCCAAATTCGCAACAAAATCATGGAGAAATCGCAGACAACTCGCAGAAATATCGAGCTTGCCGGGAAGTGGTTGTCTCAACGTCAGTTCGGGTTTTCGGGTTCGGTGCCAGAATCCTCTGCTTGCCTAACTGCAGCACCTGCTCAACAGGAAGCCGCTATTGCTGAGTCGAAGGAAATCGACCCTAGCTACCATGGGCACATCCGGGATGATGCCAAAGCCTGCTGGATTTCCTTCCCGGGAAAGTATGCAGCAGGCCGGTCCTTGGGTTCACAGGGTGCAGGACGTCGGGTTCTGGGGTTTCGCGGCATGCTGAGGTTTCAAACTGTATCCGAGATCTAAACTCACAAATCCGCATTGCAAGATCATCCGGGGACGGCCCACAGGCGAAGTCGTGCAACACCTTTGGTTACGAACTGCGCCGTCGAAGCCCCGTTGCAAGCCCTGTACCCCACGTTCTTTTTGAGTGAGCCAAGAGCTCTGGAAGCCTTCCACCGCAGAGGCTGGGAAGCTTTGGTGAAGGAGCTCGTGCTTTTGACTGGTGTACAGGTTGCGCAGGGTTTCTACTTGTTCAGAGGTGGCGTGAACCCAGGCCTAGACCCTAATCCCCAAACCCTAAATGCCCTAAACCCTAAACCTAATCCCGCGCGAAAACTCGAAGCCCAGATCCTCAACACTCACCGGAGAGGGCCGACCTCAAGCTGTGGCTTATCGAAAAAGTACTAGTGCCCCCTTATTGTCCCCAACTATTCTAGGTATTGTGCAAGAGTTGTGGAGTTCTGGATGACGTCAGGCCCAAGAGGACTTCGAAGGGGGGCTTCAAGGGCTTGAAGGGCTTCGAAGGGGGGGCGCAGGGGGGCTTCAAGGGCTTCGAAGGGGAAGGCGAAGGGGGGGGGCTGCGCCCCCCCAACCCCCCCCAAGATTATTCTCCATTCTCAATTTTAATTCTCTGCTTCTACTTTTCGACTTGTAACAACGAACAGAAACTAGAATCGAGGGGGGTGGAATGTAGACCTGTGAATTGGCAATGACCGAACTGCAGGTTTGCTAACGAGCAGCTGCAGTGGCAGCTAGATACCGCTGCAGGTTTGCTAAGTATGGGTACGAAGTGCCAATTTGGGTGCAGAAGCCATGAGTAGATCTTAATGACACAATACCCCTACCCACGCCTTAAGTTCTAAAACCATCGGCCCAGAATTGCTAAACACGAGAGCCGCCTGACGAAATCCGGTTAGATCCTGAATTGGGGATCCTTTGGGCATCTTGTTCCTTCGGCCTCCAACCCACAATATTCGTCTTATTCCCTATATGGTACAGTATACCCCAAAACCCCTATCCCATCATCCAAACTCCTTTCCGGTAGGAGTTTCACCTTGACTCGGTGGCCTGTGTCTTCCTCTGCTCCCCAGCGGACCCGACCTCAGGTCAGGTCCTGGTCTTACATGGAATGATTGCCAATGTTATTCCTTAGGCTTCCTTATAGAAATACCATAATATACCCCAAAATCCTATTCTAATTATTAATTCCGATATAATGTCCTGCAAAGCAACAACCTCCGAACTGTTCCGGTCGAGTGACACAAATTGAAATGCATGAGTAGGTCAACTACGTTTGTGCGTAGCTACCCTGTGAACATATACAATCAACGGCGCGAACAAATGGGCAACCATCTACTGTATCCATTCACCCGTCCGTCCATTGCACGCTCCATGTCATGGACTACATGCCCACCTGCCTACCTGCCTGCCTGCCTGCCTGCCTGTCTTGAAGTCTCGAGCAATTCATCACGTCTCAAGCAGCAAGCCCCCTTGGGTTCTATCGAAAAAGTTTGCCCAGGTTTCGCATCTCTCAAGTCGTTCTGATCCTGAGGTTTGAGGAAGCGGATGATCCCCAGAATCCGGGGAAGTGCTGCTGTTCACGGATTTATGGCGAACGAGACTTCAGAACGTTCGGCTACCTCTCAGTCCTCAAGGCACCTTACACGGACGACAGAATCAAGGAGCACGGGGAGAAAGCTGCTGCAATGAACGCGGTCCCCATCCGTCAAGATGCAACCGATGAAGAGAAGGAAGAAGCTACAAAGCTGTAGAGCAGTGGGAGAAGATGGGGCGAACAGCCTCCTGGGGATGTATCTGGTACAAGCGCTGGTTCGACCTGGTATGCACGGCTGTGGAGAAGCAGCAGAGGCTCAAGGCAGTCTTCTTTCCCGGGTGGGAGAAGTGCAACACAGCATATGGCACCGAATCGTTCTAGAGACCCTGAGCAGTACTAAACTCATCCCGTCGCTGTGTGCGCGGGACGAAAGTTCGACACCCCAGCGGAGAATTTCTCTCCAGCACCCTGTTTTTAGCATGCATGGGCTGGACGGGCTCGGGGTCAAGGCACGGCATCGGAAGGAATGTTGGTCTCGGTAACCGAAACCGTGCATGAAGGGAGCCCGAAATCATGCAGGCTTGTTTTTCACGCTGATACGTAGCAGGCATTTCTCCACCGCGACATTTGAGTTTTCGTGTGCTTCTCGACCTTGTTCGCAGTGTGTTCACCGAGATGCGAACATGCGAATCTCAGCCCCTCCAGCCAATCACCCGGGCCAGGTGGGCTACGGGATTCCCAGCGTGGAGGACCTCTCTGACTGTGAGGTTGACCTCTGGGATAGGGAGACACAGCTCCAACTTAAAGGGCGCACGCTTTGTGGTTGAGTCTAGGTTTTCAAAATTCGGCGATCGGAGGCCTTTGGAATCATGGTTGAGCATATAGCTTTAAGTTCCGTTCGAGATTCCAAGCCTCTTTCGCTCATTGATTGAAGGCTTTGGGAGGTTTGCAGGGGTTCAGGATTGGGAGCCGTGGGCTAGTGCGAAGGCAGAACAGTGAAGGCCAACTACTCTTACTCACATCACAATCAGGACCATCATGGCCATGTGCATGAGTTTGCATGGGTTTGAGGCGCATGTAGCGACTTCGGTACGTTGGGTGTGCAGGGTTTGTGTGTTCAAGCTGGGGTTGTTGGAAGGATGGGACCTAAGAGAAACTCAAGAAATCTCAAGAAATGTCGAGAAATCCGAGGCAAGACAATCTAGGTTTTCCTACTACTAACAGAGGTTTTCCCATGAAAACACAGCGAGAATGGAGGTCTTCCTACTAGAACATCATAGAGAACACCACGCCCACCCGGCGCACACCACTAACGAAAGGGGCCACAAGAACAAGTTAACCCCGATCGGGTCTTCTGTCACAGCCTTCTTGACACAGCGGTTCCCACCCCACGAATCCATCTTGCATCCCTCGCCATGGGATTTCTGGTTGGGAGGCCTGGGGTGTTTGGTGTCTTTGTTCTCACAGCCTTTGTTCACCCATCACGCCTTGAGACCCGACCCCTGTTTCCAAGGCTCGTAATGGCCCAAACCCCATCAAGCTGTAAAACCCTAAATGGCCCAGCCCAAAAAGTTTTGGTTAGACTTGACATCCCTGCAGTCGTCAAGCGAATCGCGCGGCTTGAAACACATTGTTCAGATTTTGCGTCTGTTGTGAGGGTCATGCGTGCAGAAGCACGTAGCCCCGTAGCAAGTCAAGACCGCCGAACTGCGAACCGCAATGCACATCGGCTGAATATTGTCGGGTTAAGCACTATGTGGGGTTTTTGCTGCGCACGTCAACGACAGAAGTTGCCTTTGCTTACAACGGCAAATCGCCACCCCGCCCAAATACTTAAGGTCTGCGTAGCTTTGTGATAAAGATCCGAGGGCCCCTGGCGTTTGCAACAACCTCGACTCTCACGGCAACGTGATTTGGATTGCAGGTACAAACCAGACCTTGCCTGACCGTGTGACCATCTGTCATGCAGTCATGTTCGGTTGACACCCGCAGTCTTTGCGGATCGAACATGATGCTTGTGTTTTCCTGTCTTTGGATGCCATGAGTGGATGCGTGGGGGGCTCTCAGCAGGCCTATGTCGACTGTCTGCATGACTGCACGTGTCTGCAAACCACGAGCTACATGGAGCACTGCCGCGCCACCTTTGTTATGAATGCCGGCGGCTTAGTTACACCCGATGCCATGCCTGGTCATCTTTTGCAAACATTAGCAACGTCCAATTTTTTTGCAAATTTGAAGCGAAGGCAGCCCATAACAGTCGTAGTACGTCGTAATTAGTTGTAATGCGCCGGTTTGGGTTTGGTCTGGCTTCTGGCGCCTGCGGGCGGTGCGGATTGCGCTAGATTTGCGCGCTAAGGTCACTGCCCACGACATGTGTTTGTGTTTGACAACACGCTGCGTCGTGCGCTGCGTGGAGGAGGCCATGTGCAGAATGGGCGAGAATTTTTCAGGGGAATGTGCAGCGCTGGAAAATCAAATGCTCTGCAACTTAAACTGCCCGGGTAGCTCGACGAGCTCGAGAAACGAGACACAAGGATGGTCCTGGGGTCCATCAGAATGGCCCTGCGTATCGGACTTGCAAGCAGCACCCTCGCAGCCCACAGTTTTGGTGGAACCTGCCACCGACACCCCTTGGATCCTGGCCACCGTGATTGGCTCCGCTGTGGTCGCGCTCGTCCTCTTAACAATTGGCTTCTGCACGTGCCGTCAGATGTCCCGGGGCAGAGAGGCCATGGAAGCCGACCGGTGCTCAGCAGTGTCCAAGTGTGTCGTAGTGGTCGTAGTGTCGTAGCGTCGTAGTCATAGCTACAAATGAATGTATGGCAAGATAATCATAGATCGGAGGGAGGGCTGCTGTCTTCTTGCGCGTAGAATGCCTACGCTTAAGTCATCCCTCGCACCGAGGAGATGCATGGGAGAGCCTAAGATTGCGCAACTGGAAGCCATCGGCGCGCAGAGCAGCTTCCGACAGGCTTTCTACACCGCTTGGATTGCAAGATTCCTGATGATGGCTTGTGCACCTCTTCTGTGAATCCCACTATAGTCTCTAGTTTCATCCCGCCAAAATGGCTGTAGCATGCGACTGCCTGCATGATCAGGTCAGGCAGAACCCAGATTGTGGTCAGGAAAGCTTGACAGCCTGATTGCTACCTTCAGAAGCCTTCTGACTGAGTTATGCTATGTCCTCACTTCATCAACAATGTGGGAGCCATGGGAAGCAAGAAGCTTTTCCTTGCCAGCACCCTTGGAAAGGCGGTGACCAAAGAGTCTTCCGTTCGTCAGGCTGCGACCAAAAGAGAGGCCCAGCCCAACAGAATAGGAAACCCAGCTGTAGCAGCCGGCTGACTTGCACAATTCTCCGTTCTTGTTCTCTTTGTTCCTCGGATGCTTGCTGTGCTTAGTCTCAGGGCGATGCCGGTGCCTGCGGCTCCTCAGCATTTGCAGCATTGGTCTGGTAGGAGTCAAAGTGCTCGAATGTGGGACATATTGAAGAAGATCTCGTCAGATATGTTGACCAGGAGCTTATGAATTTGGGCGATGCGACTTGTAAACGAGATCCCACGTGTATGAGGTCGAGTCGCGATGACTTTTCTTCTAAAATGTTTGCAGCCTTCCTTGCGCACGGAGCAGCATGCAGCAAGCGTAGCGCAGCCTCGCTCATCCTCGGCTCCTGACTTGAACATGTCGCCTCCCATGCACCATGGACTCCTCGCGAATGTCCGAGGAGGCAGAAGTGTCGCAGAA